ACCCGGCCTCGGATAAAGCGGATGAAGATGGATGGACAGAGGTAGAAGAGCCTCAGAGGGCTTTTTACTTCTATTGGTCCAAACAAGACGATCAGATTTGTCCCTCTTGCCACACATTAGAGTTTAGTTGTGATTTTTGGTGGATAAATGGAGCCGTGTGGAATCTGTCAGGAATGGAGTTTTCTTCACTTTTTGCCAACAAGTGAGCAGATACATAAACTTGGACTTCTATGGACTTTTAATGTCATTAGCATAATTACATTTCCTGGTGACCTTTTGGAGAGACAAAGACAAGAGGGGAATATCTCAGTGTGGGCTTATGCAAAAAGGGTTTCGTAAGACCTCGCTGAGGATCTCTCCACAGAGCTCTGTGCAGCACAATTCAATTTTCTGCATCAGTGGTATTCTACAACAGGGCCCAGGAGGTTCGCTCGTGGAAAAGAGCCACATTTGATAAGTTTAGAAACATTTAACAGCGGAGACAGAGCCTGTGAGCTGCATGTGGATTGCCTGCCGCACATACTTGCTCCGAATATGTCTCTCTTCCTGCTTCTCTCTCATTTGTCTTCATTTTTTCCGTTTAAGACAAAGCTTCAGTGAGTTCATTTTACATATGGATAAACGGTAATCCTCACATTTTCCCTTCTGTTCAGAGAATTCGCAGCTACTAAAATTCCTTCTTTTTCTATCCGAGCACCTTCATCCAGTCACACTCACAGCAATCCGAGCTCACCTCATCCAGGACGACCACTGCATTCTCAGCAGGTAAAGGTCGGGGGACCGAGAGCGATGGTCCAGGCAGTGAAACATTGGACAGTCGCCTCTTCCTCACACCACTACAGTTATTTGGGATCTTGAATGCGCAGCGCTTGTGGTAGTTTAGTCCGCATCCTTAAGAAAGCAAAAAAAACCAGATCGCATTAGTTACCGAAATCATGGAAAGATGACATCATGGTAAGAAACGCAGTGAAGAAACGTCTCGTTTTGCAAATCAGCCGCAAGATGGTCCTGCTGATAAACAGGCTCAGCACGAGAATTTATGGGCAGGAATGTTTCACTGGTGAATAAATCTTCTGTCTTTAAACTTTATTCGCTGTCAGCGGAGAACACGAGAACATATTTCAAGTATGATTCAACAATGTGAAAAAATGTAAGGAAAGCGAGCGTGACACGAGTCCGCTGGGATCTGAATGTCAAGCATTTCAGCAGCTACTGTGCCTGCGCCACGTTGTTCTCGTTTGCCTCTATATCTCCCTGATACAGTCACAAGGTCAGATATGTGGTGTGTTTTTGGATCTGTGTTTGAGTGCGGATACGGTAAAAAGGAAGGTGCAGATAAAAGCCGAGTTCTTGGGAATTTGGTAGAATTGATCCGAGTGTGGGTGCCGCTGTGTGCGCGAGTGTCTAACCTTCGCATTTAAGCCCCTGCCGAACGAGACCCCATAGCATCTCGCCACAGTAGTCGCAGAAGGTGGGGGCCTTGTAGGAGTGGACGTAAAGGGCATGGGGTCGGATCTGGAAATCTTCAACTGTGGCTTGAGCTAGAAAAGCAAACACAAACAGAAAAAGAGGTAGAAAATAGAAAAGTTCACAAAGAAACTTCATCATTAAAGATGAAGAATAAATATTTTTGAATAGAGTTTTTAATGCATGTGAGCTTGAGGGAAGATTTACTCGACACGCTTCACTTACTGCACATAAACACGGATGCTATGTCTCACTGCTGCAGTAGAGGGCATCACATCTGCACCACACGAGCGTGATCGAGTGATAGGGCGTGCCCGTAAGACACCAGAGACGTGCATTTTATTCCTGTTTGTTATTAAGAACCGAATATCAAATCAGCAGAGCCGTGAATGTGTCTCTCTTTCTGTTTCTCTCTTATTCGTCTTCATCTTTTCCACATTTCTGTGTCAAATGACACACGGTGAGTTCGCCGTTGGCAACAAGACTCGGCTAATCACGGCTGTGAGTCATCAAAGATGTGAAGATGAGTAAGATAAGGCTCATGCTGCCAAATATCCCTGAGTGTGTGACTGTGCCTCCTCTGTTCCTGTGCAGTCACTTATGTGGCAGCAGTGACCGACGAGGGGACGCTTAATATTTACTCTTGGGTTAAGCAGCAAATGTGCTAACGCCTTTTCATTGTGTTTGCCGATAAAAGCATTTTCAGCTTAAAAAACAAATGTGAAACGTCCTTTGCTTAAAAGCAGCATCTGATACGAGTAAAGGCAGTTGGTTAAACGAATCCGATCTCTTAATTTGAGCAAAGAATGCAGGACGGGTCAAATGGGAAAGCAAACGTTTTGATGTCACTGCTCATAATCCCTGGAATGGAAAATATTTACAGACTTTTGCAGGAATATTAAAGATCTGAGACAATTCGGGGCGGCTGTTGAGAACTACAGTGGCTGGTTGGGTGATGTTGGCAGTTTGGGAAGAAGAGGAGAAAGAGCCGAGCGAGGTCACATGTCGAGAGGCGCGCACAGCTTTCTCGCGCTGACACATGAAAGGCAGCATTCATGAGCTTTCTGCACACGCGTCTGCAAAACAACTGGCCGCTTCTTAGCAGTCGCAGTGTTACGTAATGGTTATCGTGCTAATAAGTATCAAACAACTCCAAACATAAACTCGACACGTTGTTTTTTTGGAGCGCTTCTCACGAGCGGCGGGGCCTCGCATGAATGTGCTATCTGTTCGCTCGGAGGCGAGTTTCCATTCGGAGTCAAAAGTTTCCATGTCACAAAAACAAGTTAGTTATATTTATGACAAGCAGAAGGTGTTGTAAAATATCGATTTCACGCGGCCCGTGGCAGTGAATAAGGGGCTTGTGAAAGTGGGTGGAGTGAGAAACAGAACAAAGGGACACTCGGTCAGGCCAAACCTCAAACCTCATGGGCCGAGATGGCCCGCGCAGCGTCCGCCCCGCACATCAGAGCGTGTTTACACTCTGCGGGTCCACTACAATCACTTACTGCAGGAAAAACAAGCCTTTTTCTTTGAGCTCGCAGCCAAGAAAAAGCCACTTCTGCTTGCTTCTTGCAGAGAGGGAGATATTCAGACCGTCCTTCTCCCACAGCCGCACGATCCAAAAACAAGCTCGCCGAGGAAAAACTGAACGGAGACGAGGACGAGAGAGAAACTGGTTGTGTTTCACACGCAAAGATCAAGCGTCCGACATGCAAAGCCTCTCAAAAAGAAGGTCGCGTTCCCAGATTGTGAGATGAAGCATGTGTCCATGTGTAGCAAAGCTGAGATCTTCTACAGCCGTTTTCAGCAGGTATGTCTCAGGTTATAAATCGCCCGGCTCCACTGTTGGCGCTAACACCTGCAGACGGATTTGTTCAGGTAGGGGGGGATTAGGACGAGAGAAAGCGGGGAGGGAATTGCGAGCCGCAGAGACTGACACAAAAGAGCACAAGACAAACACAGACAGAAACAAAAAGAAGGAAGTTCTCCAGTCTTTAGTCTACATTCCTCAGCCTGAAGTATCCTCAGATCCTGAAACTATACAATCATCCTCTGACTAAATCCCTGCAAACAATACTGCCAGCCCAGGAGAGAGGGGGGGGGCTCGGCACAGGTGGTGTCAGGTGCTTCCCAGTGGAGGCAGATGGAGCAGCAGCACAGATTGGAGCAGAACAGATATGCTAAGCCATTTGTTGGTCTCAGCACCGCAGAGGAAGCCGGCTCATTCATCGCAGGAAATAACAAAGAAAAACCGAGCACCTGTGTCGTTTTACAAAGGTGGAAAATTATGGAAACTCAAATGTCACACAGAAAGCAACTGTCTGCTTGTATTCGTTCACTAATGACAGAAAATTGCTCAAGACTAATATTTATTTTGGGCGAGCACAGAGGACGCTCACAGCAAGCATCTCAGCCCCAACGGGACCCCGAACTAGACAAAAGACGTGTTTATGAAGGTGTGGCAACGACGACCGGGCCCAAAATTTAAAAAAAAATAAGCTGACTCGAATACTTGAAGCGTATTACTTTCAGACCATTGTTTAGACTTTGCAAACACGTGGTTTATACTGCTCGGAGGAGTTTTATATTCATTTTTCTCCTGTTTTGGAAGTCTAGAAGTCTAAAACAGCAGCAACGCTGTGCCAGCAAACACACTGCACTGTATCACAGTTTGTATGTAAGAGAAGACTGAACAAAAACTGGGCAAATTGGAGGAAGTGCGCTGCCAGATTTAGAAGAATTTGGTTTATAGTATAATCCTCTAAATACATGAACAAGTCTGCTGCTGGGTTTATATTAGGGGAGTCACTGCAGGTAAATGGGTCACAACTTCCAACATATACCACGAGTACAGCAGTTTATCACGTACGCTAAGACAATCATCCGTCCTATTATAACCACTCTATACGCTGATGTCTAAGCTGCAAACAAGACACGTTTATTTTCCCAGAACAGAAATATGAACACTGGATGAAGCTCAAAAATGTTTGTTTCCTTTGTTGAATTTAAGATTTAAAAAATCTCATTTTATCGCTCATAAATAAAAAATGATATCAAAAGCCAGGAAAAATAGTTTCCACCATGTTTTTAGGAACAGGATGTTCAGTGAATCTGTCTTTGAATAAAAGGTCTACAAACCCTCAAAATCCCGAGAATATGAACAGAAATAACGCTGCGGAGCTCGGATGGATGTGAGATATCTGCCTTGGATAATGAGCCTCTGTATTTAGAGTTATGAGCTGTAAAATTACACACATTTTTTCTAAAAAGCGTATTTATGGTAAAAAAAAAATGTAAGTAACAGATAGCATCATCGTATTAATACGATCACTAAATATGCAAATCAAGCAATCAAACAAGCTCAATAATTCTACATTAATTCTGCATAGACCCCGTATAGAAGAAGTGCAATAAAATAATTATGTTTGAGGGCCAGTGTTGGTCAAGTTACTTGAAAAAAGTAATCAGTAACTAATTACTGATTACTTCCCCCAAAAAGTAATCCTGTTACTTTACTGATTACTTATTTTCAAAAGTAATTAATTACTTTGTTACTTAGTTACTTTTTAAAAACACGATTTACAACCTGAATAGG